AAAAAATTAATAAAATAAATAGTAATTTTTTAATATATTTTCTAAATTACTTCTATAAAAAATCAGTTTTCTATACTTTTCTAAAAAGGAAAATAGTAATTACTTCTTACAAACAAAAATACACTATTTTAAAATCGATTTTTTTATAAAAAAAAACTAACCAATCAACTCAATATATAGTTTTGATTTGGTCTGGATTAGTTTCACCAATTTTTTTTTGTTAAGTTTCACCAATTCTTTTATATTATCAATGTTAGGTCATTAAATTACTTCTTGATCACTAACAATGTCTTCCTCCAATTAGTTGAGTTTTTTGGTTACACTAATTGCATTTGGAACTAAAAACAAGATGTAGTGTCCATCAATCTAGGCATGACAATTAAAATTGCACATGTGAATACTTGATCCAATTTTAACAAGAAAATCTCACTTTAATTGATTACAAGTTTAAATATTTTCCAACTTAAAGAATTGGATTTGGGGATATAACTCCATAGCCCCTACCTACATGCGTAGGGGATAAGGAGTTATATCCCCAAACCCAATTCTTTAAATTGGAAAAAATTATATACATGTATATATATATATATATATACTATTTACTTCTTACAAAAAAAAATACTTTTTAAAATCCATTTTTTTAAAAAAAACTAACCTAGTTTATGTTTGGAATGAGGGCAGACATGAGTTTTTCCACATCAGACATGAGATAATATGGTGAAAATGATGGGTGTGGTTTGTTTTGTAAAATCTTGTTGTTTGATTCATGATATGGTGAAAATGAGTAGGTTAGGTGAATGTATTACATTTTATTTGTTGATAGGTGATCTTTGTTCTATCTATATTTATATGAGATAGTATGTATATATATATATACACACACATATGTGTGTGTGTGTGTGTTTAGGGTTTAGGGTTTAGGGTTTACTTCTTACATATTATCAATGTTAGGTCACTATAGTTACTTCTTGATCAATAACATCACTCGCTACGATGTTTTTAGTGATACTGTCCATCTGTTAGGATATTCACTCACTTTTATCTCGTCCACCAGGTAAATAAATGGTACATATCTCATCGAAGGTACGAACCGACTGGATTGCATTGATCTTTTTGGCTTCATTGTGGAACTGGATTTTTTTACCTAATTTTCATAAATGATTATATTTTTGGAAATTTTTCTCAAATTCTCATTTTTTTATTTTAATTTTATATTGAATTTTGACATTTACTTAAATATAAAGAATTATAAATAAATGATTATTGCAACAAAAATCATTTAAATTTAAAATATAATCTATATGTTTAAAATATTTATTTATTAATAATTTTATGAGTTTTAATTATAAAACAATTTATATATTTTAAAATATTTTATTTAGGCTAAATTGTACATTTGGTTACTCTACTTTTATTAATCTACAATTTTGATTCTCCATTTTAAAATAAAGATATTTAGTGTCTTTAATTTTAAAAATACAAAATTTTAGTCTTTTCATCAAATCGGCATTTATTAATCTCTAAATTTTATCATTTATTCATACTTAAATAATGTAACATTTAGTATCATGACATTGAAAGATAAAAAAATCTTAAAAAATATATATAAATAAGACCTATCAATAAAATAAATATCAACCAGTCATTAAAATAAATGCAAACAAACATCTTTTACATAATATTTTTAATTTTTATATTTATATATTATGTTATTAAATATTACATCACTTAAGTAATGACACCTCACGTTGTCGGACGATATCAATATTTAACAATCAAAGAACATCAAATTAACAATATAACAAAAAATTTGTATTTTTGAAAATAAAAGACTAAATATCTCTATTTTTAAATAGAAGGACTGAAATTACGGATTAAAAAAAATAAAGAGACTAAATACAATTTAACTTTTTATTTATTATAAATTATAACTATATAAAATAAATATTTATTTTATAATTATAGAGATTATTATATACTTGAATTCAAAATACTAATTGAATAGGTATACTATTAAATATATCATATAGTTTTATGATATTTCTAGTTAGTAGTAAAGAATTGATTATATTTTGTTGTAGTTGTATTTACAACTAGTAATTGAATAAAATGTTGCAACGGCCTTTATATTGAATTGAAGAGTGAAGGGACGATTCATTTCATCTTATTTTGAATTGAGAAGAGGAGGGAGAAAGAGAGATGGAGAAGACAGGAGTACTATCGGCGAAGGAGGCGTTTGAGAAGCTTGAGAAGGTGGGAGAAGGGACATACGGGAAGGTGTACAGAGCAAGAGAGAAGGCCACTGGGAAGATCGTTGCCCTCAAGAAGACTCACCTCCACGAGGATGAAGAAGGTGTCCCTCCCACCACTCTCCGTGAGATTTCCATTCTGTGAATGCTCTCTCGCGGTCCCCATGTCGTGAGGTATTCCATTCGATTCGATTCCATTTTTAATTTTCTTCATGTTTCTCATTTCTCGTGTTTCCCTCCACAGGTTACTGAATGTAAGTCAAGGTCTCAACAAGGAAGGCAAGACAGTGCTCTACTTGGTATTCGAGTATATGGACACTGATCTCAAGAAATATATCCGTTCTTTCCGTCAAGCTGGAGAGAACATTCCACCTCAAACCGTCAAAGTAAAATCTTTTTAAATTTGTCAGATTTCTCTGTATATATTCAATATTCGCTTTCTTAAATCAATTTTGTTACATAGCTTGATGTACCAACTTTGCAAGGGCGTTGCTTTCTGCCACGGTCATGGAATCTTGCACAGGTACTTTAGGTTTACGGTTTAGGATTACCTCTTTACCTTTCATTTCGCAGGCACTTGAACATATTATTATAAAATCTTACATCTTTCCAATGGAAATTGAATCTTTATGAAGGGACTTGAAGCCTCACAATCTCTTGATGGACCCAAAAACAATGATGCTCAAAATAGCAGATCTTGGACTCGCTCGAGCATTCACTGTACCTATTAAGAAATACACACATGAGGTAAAATGACAGCACTTTCGAGAGATAGATAGACCCTTTTATTTTTGTCTTCTCTAACACCCAATGTCTCTATTTTCAGATACTAACACTTTGGTATAGAGCCCCTGAAGTCCTCCTGGGAGCTACCCATTACTCAATGGCTGTGGACATGTGGTCCGTTGCCTGCATATTTGGTAAGGAAAATGATATTGTTTAACTGAGTGGCGATTTCTTGTTTGTATGTTGGGTAAGAGGTTTTCTAATCTTTTTTGCATCTCAAATGTAGCCGAACTTGTCACTAAACAAGCACGCTTTCCTGGTGATTCAGAGCTGCAACAACTCCTTCATATATTCAGGTGATGCGTTTAGCAATAAGATGTGTGTTTGTCATCCCCTGTTTAGTTTGCTTCATTTTGCATATTGTTTGTGCAGGCTATTGGGCACTCCTAATGAAGAGATGTGGCCAGGCGTGAGTAAACTAATGAACTGGTATGAATACCCCCAATGGAACCCTCAAAATCTGTCAACGGCTGTTCCAAATTTGGATGAGCTTGGCCTGGATCTGCTATCTGTAAGTTTCTCCATAATTAACTCCTTCTGGTACATGCTGCTGATATTTTTTTTTATTTTTTTTATTTGGTAGCAAATGTTGAAGTATGAACCTTCCAAGAGGATTTCTGCAAAGAAAGCTATGGAACATCCTTACTTTGGTGATCTGGACAAAAGTCTCCTTTAGAAAGAACAAATTGAACCAAGATTTGGATGTACAAGTTTATGACTACCAATTTGCTCTATGCTTCTCTCGAGCGTTTTTTGTAATGTTTTAGGGCGATACTTTCTGCTGTTATATTTTTCATATTCGAGGAATTATGGAGTGATTGCATTTGAGATTTATTTCATAGTCTCAAATAAATCACTTTTATGTATACATGTCATTCTAATGAAATATCAAGGTCTTTACATGTCATTCTATGAAAATTTCCTCCTCTTATCTTACTAACTTCCCCATCTAGATATCTGTCACTATTATTTTTGTACCGGAAGGATCTCGTCGGCCACGTGGATCGGCCACGTGGACCGGCACGTCATATTCTATCAGATATTGACGCAAGCCAGACGTCATTCTGGCTCGGCACAAGATCAAGATCCACATTCGCTCATATCGGCTCGGCAAGATGCCGAACACAACGTCTCGGTCATCCTGTATCGGCCCGGCTGAAGGTCATTAGAGTAATTAGAAACAGCAATCCCGATTAATAAGAGACGAAACATGATTAAGGCGTAACCCACTGATTAACATCGTATTACCTAATTTGGTAAGTGTCAGAAAAAGCCCACTATGCTCAGGCCCATGTTAGGTATTATAAATAGGTCACACTTAACGAGGTATGTCACTGTTCAATTATTACCCTAGAGATTCGTGTTTGTCCTGACTTGAGCGTCGGAGTGCCTTTTGCAGGTACCTCCCCCCTTCTGAAGAATCCACCTGAAGCTCCCGTTCGACCCTCCTATACCCCAGAAGACTACGAGTATACCCTCAGACAGGTACATTTTGGCGCCCACCGTGGGGTCGAACCGACAGCTTTTGAAGAAGTCAGACTAGGTACTATTGGAAAGAGTCATGGCAAAGACAAGGAGAAATCACATGGGAGACCACCGATCTGAAGATGAACACCAATCCGAAGTAGATACCGCCGAGACAATCGACGAGACTAACATGGCCGAGATGGTGAAACAACTAAAGGAGGAAATGGCCGCCATGAAACAACAACGAGAGAAAGACGCTCGTGAGATGGCCGCTTTGAGGGAAGAGAATGCTGCCTTGAAAAATCAAAACAAAGATCCCACTTGGAAACCTTCCGAGCTGACTCATACCCAGGGTTCGTTCCACTCGCTCGGACATACATCTCTTCCCCACACTTCCACTGTCGCCCCAGGAAACCACGCCTCGGCTGCTCAAGTTACTGGCCGACTTGATACGCTCCACCTACCGGAGCACACCGACACCCTTTCACCCCCAACATAATGCAATCCTCCCTTCTAGACCATTGGAAGTCCTTTTCGATAGATAAGTACGATGGGACCACTGACCCCGATGAACACGTCGATATTTTCCTCACCCAAGTCACACTCAGCACCACCGATGATTCTGCCCTATGTCGTATCTTCCCAACATCTCTGAAAGGAAGAGCATTGAGTTGGTTCACTCGTCTCTCGGCCAACTCAATAGACTCTTTCAACACCCTCGCATCCCAGTTCACCATCCAGTTTGCCACCAGCCGACCCCACCATTTGACCTCCCTTGCGCTGGTAAGCATAAGACAAGAAAAGAAGGAATCCCTTCGGGCTTTCATGACCCGATTCAACAAAGCAGCTCTCGAGATTCGAGACCTCAATCCGGCCGTTGCCCTCCATCATTTGACTACAGCCCTGAAGCCGGGACCGTTTGCTAACAGTATATGCAAGAAACCCCCGTCTGACATGGATGATTTGTGGCGCCGCGCCGATAAATATATGCAGATGGAAGAACTCACGGAATTCTGCAATCAGGCCAGGGCGGAAGTCTCAGCCAAGGCCGAGAAACCAGCCGAAGGCTCTTACCGTAGCCGTCCCAAGGACCTCGTCTCGAGAGAAAAGCCTATTCGAGGACCAAGGTACTCCCACTACACTCCTCTAAACACCACTCGATCAGCTGTACTAGACCAAGCACTCGCGTCGGAGGTCCTGGCAGTGCCGAAACGTGCTTCAACTCCCCCACGCGCGGATACTACCAAGTCTTGCAAATACCATCGCAACCGGGGTCACTCAACTGAAGAGTGCGCGGCTCTGAGGGACAAGATCGAGGACTTAATCAAACAAGGACAGCTTCAGCGTTTTGTTGATCGACCTCGTTCCCCCCGACATGATGATCGTCGGCACCGTCGAGATCAACCCGGGCAAGACAGATCTGATAGACGTCCTTATAGGGAACGAAGTCGGTCGAGAGGCCGAAAGGAAGACGAACCGACGACTCAGCCCTGAAGAGTCATTAACACTATTGCCGGCGGATTTGCTGGCGGAGGCGCTTCCTCATCGGCACAAAAGAGGCACCTGCGAGCTGTCCGAGCTGTACACGCGGTGCAACGAACTCAACGCAGGATGCCGGCCATCACGTTCACAGAAGCAGATTTCAAGGGCATTGATCCTGACCAAGACGATCCAATGGTCATCAGTGTCGAAATTCACAACTGCATCGTTCAAAAAACGCTGGTTGACCAGGGCAGTTTGGCCGATATTTTGTATTGGAATACATTCAAACAGCTCGGCATCCCGGAGGCCGAATTAACTCTGTATAATGAACCCTTGGTCGGATTTTCAGGCGAACGTGTACAAACGAGAGGATACATCAAGTTATCCACGCGTTTCTCCTTTGATGGAGCCGAAGCTCGAGACATTCCAGTCAAGTACGTGGTTGTGCACGCCAACACGTCATATAACATCCTTCTCGGCAGGCCTTCTCTCAACAGACTGGGTGTGATCGTATCAACTCTGCACTTAGCCATGAAATTCCCTTTTGAATCAAGCCGAATCATCACAGTACATGCGGACCAGAAAGCAGCTAGAGAATGTTATTTCGCTAGTCTCCCGCTGCCTCGTCTTGAAACGACCGAGCCGCATGGATAAAAACGTGTACACTCGGTAACCCTAGACCCTGAAATGATAGTAGACTTCGACCCTCGAATGGAGCAGGTCGAGAGGCGCGAGCCAATCGAGGATCGACATCCAATTGTCATCGGGCCAACCGACCAACACGTGACCTACCTCGGTTCTAACCTGTCTGAGATGGAAAGGCATGAAATCGGACAAGTTGTTAAAAGAAACAAAGACTTATTTGCATAGCGGCCAGCTGACATGCCAGGTATTGACCCCAATTTCCTGTGTCATAAACTCTCTGTATGCCGAGAAGCCAAACCGGTTGCCCAACAAAAAAGAAAGATGGGGGAAGAGAGAAAGAAGGCAGTTGAAGTAGAGGTATCCGAGTTGTTAGAAGCGGGTTTCATTCGAGAGATACAGTACACAACATGGCTGGCCAACGTCGTCATGGTTAAAAAAGAAAACGAGAAGTGGCGAATGTGTACTGATTACACAGACTTAAACAAAGCATGTCCGAAAGATGCATATTCGTTGCCAAACATAGACCGATTGGTTGATGGAGCAGCCGGTCACAAGTTCTTAACCTTTCTCGACGCATACTCGGGTTATAATCAAATCCGTATGCATACTCGAGACGAAGACAAAACGACGTTTGTCACGGAATCCTCCAATTATTGCTACCAAGTAATGCCTTTCGGCTTAAAGAATGCCGGAGCCACATACCAACGGCTCATGGACAAGATCTTTGGTGGTCAGATTGGGAAGAATATGGAGGTTTATGTCGACGACATGGTGGTCAAATCGGCCAGCTTACCTTCTCATGTCACCGATCTGGCCGAAGTCTTCCACGCGCTTCGGAAGCACCAAATGAGACTCAACCCGGACAAATGTGTGTTTGGTGTCTCGGGCGGTAAGTTCTTGGGCTTCATGCTTTCAAGCCGGGGCATCGAGGCTAACCCCGACAAATGCCAAGCTATTATTGACATGAGGAGCCCCTCAAATTTAAAAGAGGTCCAAAAGCTAGCTGGCCGACTAACAGCGTTGTCTCGTTTCCTACCATGTATGGCCGAAACTTCAAAGCCGATCCTTGGTCTCTTGAAAAAAGCAAACCGGTTTCAATGGACGGAGGAATGCGAAACATCTTTTCAACTCTTCAAGAAATGTCTCGGCACTCTTCCAATGCTAACCAAGCCGATACCAGGCCGAGAAGTAATCCTGTATTTAGCAGTTTCGGGTGAAGCCATAAGCGCCGGACTAATATAGGAGCAGGACGGTCAACAGCAACCGATATACTTTATAAGCCGAGTGCTTCAAGACGCTGAGCGGCGATACCAACTGTTGGAGAAAGTGGCGTTAGGACTCATATACGCGGCTAGGCGCCTTCGACAATACTTTCAAAGTCATACTGTGATAGTCCGAACAGATTGTCCGATCGCTAAAGTACTCCGAAAGCCAGAACTGGCCGGCCGAATGATGGCATGGTCGATTGAGCTCTCCGAATTTGACGTCCGTTTTGAACCTCGGGGAGCTATCAAAGCACAAGGCCTAGTTGATTTTGTCAATGAATTATCGCCTCTCGGCCAGTTCGAGGATAACGCTTGGACCATGCATGTAGACGGATCGTCCAACCAGCAGGGAAGCGGTGCCGGAATAATCTTGGAAAGCCCGTCTGGTATTTCCCTCGAACAATCACTGCGGTTCGGTTTCAAAACCTCTAACAACCAAGCAGAATATGAAGCTTTGCTCGCCGGCATACGGTTGGCTGCCGAGATGGGTGCCACCAAAATCGTGTGTTGGACCGACTCGAAAGTGGTGGCCGAACAGGTCAATGACAACTTTCAAGTCAAGGACGCGAACTTATTGAAGTATTACCATCTGTACAAAGGAATGAAAGATCAATTCCATGATGTACAAGTTCGACACACACCACGGTGTAACAATGAAAGAGCTGACCAGTTAGCCCGATTGGCCAGTAGCCGAAAACCAGGACAACTCCGGTCAACTTTCCATTTGGAGCTACCCACATCCAGCATCCCACAGGAATGCATGCCGGTTGAAGAACCAAACACATGGATGATCGACATCATGAATTTCATTGTTAACGGCTCCGAGTCGTCCGATCCAGTAGAAACAAAGAAGATCTGAACCCAAGCGGCGCGGTATTCCGTGGTCGCAGGAGAGTTATATCGGCGAGGGTTCTCCACACCCTTGTTGAAATGCATTGACAAGCCGCAAGCAGACTACGTCATGAGAGAAATCCATGAAGGAATATGCGGATCACACATAGGTGCAAGAACGCTAGCTGCTAAAGTGCTAAGGGCCGGCTATTATTGGCCGACCCTAAAAACTGACTGTACTGAGTACGTGAGGAAGTGCAAGCAATGCCAACAGCACGGCAACCTAATACATGCCTCGGCCGAACAGCTCCACTCGGTCAGCGCTCCTTGGTCTTTTGCCCTATGAGGCATTGACATCCTCGGCCCGTTCCCACTCGCCAAAGGTCAATGCAAGTTCCTAATGGTGGCCATTGATTATTTTACCAAGTGGATTGAAGCCGAGCCGCTAGCCACCATTACGGCAGCTAATGTGCAAAAATTCGTATGGAAAAACATCATCACCCGGTTCGGCATCCCATACGCAATCATTTCCGATAATGGGCTTCAGTTCACGGATAAAAAATTCAACACCTTCTTGGAGAACCTCGGCATCCGACACCGATTCATGTCCGTTGAACATCCACAGTCCAACGGTCAAGCCGAAGCCGCCAACAAGGTTATCCTCACCGAGCTGAAGAAACGACTTGGCACAGCCAAAGGAGCGTGGGCCGAAGAGCTTCCTGAAGTTCTTTGGGCGTACAGGTGCACGCCTCAATCAACCACCAAGGAAACTCCGTTTCGATTAGCATATGGCACGGATGCCATGATTCCAGTCGAAGTTGGCGAGCCTTCATTTCGACGGACGCACTTTCATGAGGAGTCCAACGACGGCGCAATCCGAGCCGAACTTGACATCGTCGATGAGGTCCGAGAGAAATCCCAAGTCATCGCTGAAGCGTGTAAACAACGAATAACCAGGCGATTTAACTCCAAGTTAAGACCAAGGAGTTTCCAAGAAGGTAATCTGGTTTGGCGATCAACTGGCTTGGCTCGACGAAACTCGACCGAGGGGAAATTGGCGGCAAATTGGGACGGCTCATTCAGAATCCGACACAACCTCAATAATGGTTCTTACAAATTAGAAGAATTATCCGACAAAATCATCCCCCGAACATGGAATTCTACCCATTTGAAGACCTATTACAGTTAGGATTCAACTTCATGTACATGTGTAAATGTCTTAAGATGCACTCTTTTCCTTGAATCGGTCTTTTTTCCTCTTAAAAAAAATGTGAAGAGGTTTTGGCCGACAAGGTTTTTAACGAGGCATCCATCAATCAATAATAAGACAATTCAATTATCTATGACTTATTTTATATTTCTGCAATTTCATTTCAATCTTACAAGTCTTCCCTCCCGAGATGTCTCTTGGCCAAGGACGCGGCTTAAATCTTACAAGTCTTCCCTCCCTAGATGTCTCTCGGCCAAGGATGTGGCTTCAATCTTACAAGTCTTCCCTCCCGAGATGTCTCTCGACCAAGGACGCGGCTTAAATTTTACAAGTCTTCCCTCCCGAGATGTCTCTCGGCCAAGGATGTGACTTTAATTATTTTACATTACAAGTCTTCCCTCCCGAGATGTCTCTCGGTTAAGGATGTGACTTCTATTTTAAGTTACAAGTCTCCCCTCCCGAGATGTCTCTCGGCCAAGGGTGTGCTTTTTATTTCTAATTACAAGTCTTCCACATTAAATCTGAATAAATTAAACCACGATCGGCAAGTTCGTCATATAAATGTTTGCTAAGGAGTGCTGTTCGAAACAATAGATGGCATTAAAAAGATATAAGGGCTCTAACGGCCCGGAAATACACAAAGTTAAAAGGGCATTACCGGCCCATACATACAAATTCGTAAAATAACCCTAAGCATGCGCCTCGGGCTCTCTTTCAGTCAAGCCCTCTTGCTCGGCCACTTCTTCCTCCACATGGTCGTCGCCACTCGGTCCAACCTCAGGGTGAACAGGAACTTCAGTGTCCGGCTGCTCATTTGGCGGGATTTAAGTCAGGTTAACATATTTTCCCCGATGGAAATCCATGGTCATATCAAACTGAAAGCCTGACGGAAGATTTCCAAAATACGGAGCCTGCCGAGCCGCTTGCGCGAAACCGGCTTCATGCTGAGAGAGAACCTTGTTCTTGGCCCTCTCCCTGTATGCGCCGAACTCCCTCTTCTCGTTCTCCAATTCCTTCAATAGCGTGGCCGATTTGTCCGTCTCGACCTTCAAAAGGTGCTC